GCGGCCACAGGCGGAGCCCTGACCTTGCACCATCCACGCCCCTTCCAAGCCCGGGAACGCCGCGGGCGCGGGGCCTGGAGCGTGGCTGGATTGTCCCGCGCGTCTCGGTTCGGGTGGAGCGGGCGGTGGATTGTGCCGGGGCAAAGAGGGGCGCGCCGGCGCTGAATGGGTTTGTAGGCAGGAAGCCGGCTCTTGGGGCACCTAGTAGGGGGACCCCCAGGGTCTGATGACCCCTTTTCTCCATGTTGGGGGAGCTCAGGGACGGTATTGTGTAGTCTTTGATTCCAGGCAAAGCGGCAGACTGAATGCTCATGAGAAAGTCTGCGAAGCAGGTGACAACCGTCCGCTAACGGCCCACGCGAGCCATGTCTTCCTCGTTCGCAAAAAGGGTTTTCCAAGCAGTGTGTGCAGACCCAGCCCACCGAGTCTATGCTGGAGCAGGAGGAGGGGGAATAAATACACCTTCCACAGTCCCAAAGTCATCCGAATAGGATTCCTGCCTCCATGTCACCTAAGGAACAGATCTGTTCTTAGCGCATGGCCAGGACTGCGAGACCCCCTCCAGCCCCTTTGTATAAGCGGAACTTTTCTCATGCAGCTTGGGCTGCACCTTAGAATCACCTCCCATATTCCGTCTGAAGGTGAAATGTTACCCTTTGGGGAGGGGACATGCATTGGCTGCAGACTCAATCAGAGCAGGTGTTCCAAAAGCCCCTAGGAACATCCGGAGCCTCAGCCCCAGAGAGAGGTGCAGCTAGCTTCTTCTCCGCCACCCCAGCGTGTGTCTGCAGCGTGTGTCCCAGTCCTCGGAGCCCCGCAGTGAGAGCCCAGACAGAGAAGGGACCGGCTTCTTCTCCGCCACCCCAGCGTGTGTCTGCAGAGTGGGGTGATGTTCCCAGTCCTCAGAGCCCCGCAGTGAGAGCCCAGACAGAGAAGGGACCCTGCTGTGGGCAGGCTGCTGGCATTTGGGACTAAGCTCTCAGGGAGAGGGTGAGATAGAAAGGCTGTGCAGTCTGTGCAGCTGCACCCCGCCCCCCACGTTTGGTGGGGGGAAGGGCTGGTGCTGGGAGAGCACAGTGGGCTTGGGCATTGGGGGGTAGGAGGCCCTGAGATTCCACCAGCCTGGCCTGAAAGGGAAAGGCAGTCTCAGTAGGCGAGTGGTGTGCGCCCTGGAGGATGGGGCGCTGTGCAAGGAACAGTGGGAGCCTCGCTGAGCATGGCAGTCACTGAAGAGCCGCACAACCTGCAGGGCTGGGAAGATACTGGAGGAGGGCAGCTTGTCAGTGTGGGCCTTGACAAGCTCTCTTTCTGCCAGGAGCCTCTTAGTGCCTTCCAGAAGGGAGATGGGCTAGTTCCTAGTGCTTCTGAGCTTAAAGAGGCTGAGCTTTGAGGTGAGGGTGGGGGCTGTGGAATGAGACCCCCACTGTCCCGCCCTAAGAGGAGGTGCTCTCAAGCCACCCATAGGAAAGCCTACTCTGCTGGCTTCAAGGCTGGGACTGTCTTCCCTGGCATCTGGGCACTGCCCGGAAACCCTGTCTCCTCCAGGAAGCCCTCAAGCCTGGCAGGAGGCATGGCACATGGTAGGAGCTTGATATATGGTAAGCAAAAAACCAGAACCTGGCTCCCGTCCCCACCAGCAAGCCACTCGGCCTTTCTGAGCTCCCCTAAAATGTTATTATTAGAATATACAGTGATAAAAAGAAGCGCTTTGAAAAGTGCAAAACAGCCAAGGGGGCGTTGTTATTATTATTTGCATACGCTGAGGCCAGAAAAGGCTGAGGGGTGTAGGATTGGTATTTAGGGGCTGTGGAGGGAGTCAGTAAGGACCGGGCCACAGTCATCTGGGATGGTGTAACTTCCAAAACTGCCGGAATCCTGTGATTTCTTAAAAACAAACAAACAAACAAACAAACAAAACACTCTTATAGTATCTCCTTAACAAAGGAATTAGCCCCGGACAGGTCCCCTCGGAGCTGACCTTAGGCAGATCATGCAGCCTACAGCATAAACAGCATTAAACCCAGGGACCTGACGAGCCATTAGACCCCATTCTCAGTGCTTTTTGGTTTGATATCCATTGGGTTGAACCATATGGCAGGTCGTACCTCTGAGCCTGTTTTCTCATCTATAAAATGATAACGAGCCTCTAACATGCAGGTCGTTCTGAAGGTGAGAGATCACTGATGTGATGAGCTTGACGTCGTGCCCAACTCAAAGTCAGAGCTCCATAAATCCTAGCTATTGTGATTCATAAAGCATATGTATAGAGCCCTTGGTCAGCTTCAGGCGCCCCCAGCATCAGGATGCTGCTCATGTTTGTGGGTACGATTGATATGTAGTAATGGAAACTGGAGCTTTGGCGCCGCGTGGTGTGGGAAAGGAAGCCATGTGTAAAGAAAGCCCTAAGATGCGGAGAGGGGTGGCCGGGCACATCTTCTTGAGGGAGGTGTGGGATAGGAGACCATTCTTAGGGCCACTGAGGCCGAATGAGTGGCAGGGTCCAGGGGAGACACAGATTAGAGTCCAAGGATCACGATGGGGCTTTGAGATGGGTCAGCGAGCTGCAGAAAGACTTTGGAGCCCTGAGAGAAGGTTCCATGGGATAGGGCTGGGGGGACGGTGCGTGTTACTAGCATGCCGCTGCTCAGGCATGGCTTTGAGACAGAAGTGAGCAAGACATGGGGAGGAGAGTGGGGTGTTCACTAGACTAAGCAGGCCAGAGAAGAGGAGGGGTAGAGGACAGGGTAGGAAGGGACGAGAAGACTCTTGAGGGACACAAAGTTACCACCAGGTGGCAGCTTGGCCAGGGCTGTGATGTGTGGCCACCCAAGAAAGGGCAGAAGAGGGGAGATTGGCATGCCCGGGAGGGCGTTCTGGGGTCACCCCGGGCCCAGAGAAGGCAGGGCCCAGGTGCGGGGAGAGGCGGCAGCATGGAGGCTGCCCCCCATCGGCCCTCTCCTCAGGAATCCGTATTTGAAGGGAGAGGAGGGGCTCCTGCTGCGTGGGGTTTTCATGTCTCTGCCCTTCGGAAGCTGAGAGGAAGGGTCGCCATCTAGTTTGAATTCCCCCGAGCAAGAAGGGCTGGAGTGTTAACTCCTGTCTGTCCTCAGGTATCATCCTGTCAGGAAGCCTTCCCTGCTTTCTTAGCCAGAACCAGTCGCGTCCCATGGTCTTTTGGGTGCCTCCCCCACCGTGCAGTGAGCCCGCCCAAGGGCAGAGGTCAGCAGCAGAGTCATCCAGGGCCCAGCGTGGCATCAGGCACTGAGCAGTCGCTACAAGTTTTACCTGGACTGTTGGGCTGAGGGGAGCTCTGGCCGGAGCCCCTGGCTTCAGGCTCTGCGGAAGGGGAGCCCAGGCCAACTCCTCCTGCAGCAGCCGGAGCTGGTGGGAGGGAGCTACTGTTGAGGGTCCGGGCGTCTGGGGGCTGCTGTGAGGATGGCCTAGTGCTTAGTTCGAGGCCCTTCACTCCCAAGGGAAGTGGGAAGAACCCTCTGGATAGCTCACTGCACTTCATGGGAGTGGGATCGGGATGCGATGGCCCTACTCTGGGAAGGGCCAGTTCACACCCTTCACACCCCAGGGCCCCCTGCAGGTCCTCCCACATAACTGCAAACAGAGAAGGGCCTTCCTCCGCCCGCCCCTTCCCACCAGCCTCAGCCCCCTGGAGACTTCCTCAGACCTACCCGCCAGGAGCTCTGGGCTCGCTTTCTGTTTGTGCCCACAGAGTATGAAGCAGGGCAGGGAGCTCAGCGGGTGGGGGGGAGTGTGTGTGTGTTCCTGTCTCTTCCCGTTCCCAGGAACACTGGCCTCTCCTGCCACGTGTCCTGTCCACTGTGTGGGGCTGTTAGATGATCAAGCGAGGTGGCAGATCTGGAGTTGTGACTCTTAGGGCCGCACAAGCCTCACAACCGTAGGTATTCTCTTCAGGAAAGCCTCCCAGAGAATCTGCAAAAATGTCTTCATATTTGCAATAGTATTTACCAGAAGGTTTCTTCAAATAGGCTGTGCAAAGTAGAATCCAATCAGCGAAAGGTGATTTTCACACCACTTCTCAATAAACTAGAAAATTAGAACGCAGAATTCTAGAGCTGGGGAGCCTTGTGGAAAACATTTGCACTG